TGAGATGCTCATTGTCACCATTATCCAATCGCTCTCTTTGTAGGTCATATCTGTCACGCTGTTGGCCATAGTCTCAACCGCCGTGACTCCCTTCAAGTGTTATTCCCATAACGACTTGGGTGACCGCAGTCTTGTGCGGTACCCAGACGTTGAGTGCGGCTCCGATGATCATCAGGTAGGTCCCATCCGGCGCCTCCTCTTCCGAACTCCTCCTCCCAGGTCATGATTGCGCTCAGTGTTGTATCGTCCATCTTCGTCATCAGCTTCCTTCTATTCTGTTACCAGTTAACCCGTTGGGCCAGTGAAGAGCTTTCAGGAGAGAGAGGCCTTACCTTCAGCATCCGATACCGATTCCTCTTCTATCGATTACGCCAAGACAGATATCAGTTTGGTCTTTGGATGATGCTTCGTAACGTAGCGCTCGCCCTAGTCCCACTTGTCAGGCCAGACGACCCCTATATCAAACTGCTCCTATTTACTATACTCGGTGGCGCTGGTCTCGGCGTGCAGTGTTTCTTCTGGCCTTGGCGGACGAGCATGGCCAACGTGTGTGACCTTGTTTGTATGTTGCTGATGATATTCGTCTCGGCCGCAGCATCTTTTTTCATCCCTGAAATCGTCTCTGTCGGTCCTGATGCGTATAAGATTGCCCTACTAGTCCTCTTTCTATTCGGACTTTGTTATTTACTGTCGCAACTAGGCTACTTCCTCTACCTCCTGCGTGTTAGAGGCTCATGTGGAATCATCTGCGACGATGTAGACCTCCGACACGAGCTTAACGGGCTGTGGAATAAGGTGATGCTGGTGTGTTCCAAGGACAAGTCTGGCTATGACTTCACCGAGGAGATGAACCAATACGAACTCCGCCGACTATCACTCTTGCTTGGTACGCACTCTGACATTCATCATTTTTAGGGATAGATCACGAAGTTGAAGGTCGATGTTGATTGCTTCTCCTCTTCCTCATCCTGATCTTGTTCAGATGTCATTTCTCGCCACATCCTTCTACAACCCCCACCAGACAGGACCCCACCTCGACGTCGAAGTCTCGTCAGGCATCTCACGATGGGCAAAGTGAATCGGGTTCACTATGAGCGCGGCCGCACAGTGATTACCAAACGTGGGTCCTCAGTCTTAGCCACATGACTATGCCGTGCGTACGTACCCTTCCGTGTTATTGTTGTTCGCCTTGTCTCGGCTTTTGTGTTGTCCTCTAGCATTCCTTACCATTGTTGTTTGAGTATACTAGCTCATGTCAACCAAGTCGAGTATTGACACGATTGATCTCCTTAAAGCCACTAAAGTTCCACCGATGGGCGTAAAGTCATGTCCGATCTGCCACAAGGTCTTTTCCAAATTTGTTGGCCAAACGCATTTGATAAGACACATCGAGTCCTGCCGCAAGAAGAAGCTCCTTGCCTCTCTCCCTTCACCGCTGCGGAACGCGGTGAGCAAGAGACCAGCTCGAGCACGGCAATTCTCAAAGGACGATTTCCCCAATAGCCACATAGTGTACGGGCCAGTGAGTGATGGAGGAGCATCGAATAAGAAGCACCAACAGAGATGTGGTCAAACCTTGAATATGGACCTGGTCTCGCTCGCCAGGGATAGAGCGGTGCCCCTGCAGTGTCTCACCAGTGGAGTAGGGGGTCTTGGTAACTGTGAAGAAGTCAACAAACACAGGCTAGGACTACTGCAAGATGCGCAACACCTTGTCAAGCGAATAAGGCAGTTAGCATTAGAGACGAGGCCCGCAGCGCCGACGGCTGACTTGTCCTGGACCGATCACTTCCCCCGAGTGGCTATGTTATGGGAAATGGAGACTTATATCAGTGAGGCTAGGGTGCCTCTCGCGAAAACATGGCAACGGCGGTGTCGGCATAAACAGTGGACTATATTGGACTTGGACGCCGATCCTCGTTGTGTGGTGGCCCTGTCTATCCTTGATCTCTCGAATGCTTTCACTGAGTTGGAGGCTCGGGCTCGCTTGACACCTCAAGAACGGGTGAATGCCAGGAGACGGCTCGAACGAAAACGCAAGGCCAAAGCTAAGAGCAGGCCTGTGGGTGAATCTACGACCCAGTCCAGGCCTTGATGATGACATTCCTGTTACTGCAGCGATAGGGTCACGTGGTGGCCATCATTGGATCATCCAGCGACGATCCTTCTGCCGGGCCAAACCCCATGTTACTTCATCAAAGCATGCACTGCTCGTTACCCCAGAGTAGACATGGCTTGCGTTGGTCTTTGTGGTAATGTCGTTCGATGATCCTGTTTTTGGTCCTATCATGTCCAGGGTTGAATTCGAGGAGGAAGACTTAGTGGAGGAAGATCCTGAACAGTAAGCCGTGTACCGAGGGAAGCGAGGCTCTAGTTGCTGGATATAGTCGGTCCGTTTCGGGAAGTATGCCCATGGCCATCCATATGTGTTGGTGACAATGAGGAAATTCGGTTGGTTTCTATACTATTCTACTCCAATTTGTATGTAAACTTGTATTTAGTAAACTTCTGAGCTCAGCTGAGGAGAGCAATGGTTTATTCTAACACTGTAGTCGTTCGTTGTTATAGTGAGGATGCTGTACTTCAGCGTGGTTGTTCATCGTCCTACCTACCCAACCTTGGCTGATGTAGATGAAGGCCTTACTGAGGACATTGAGGAGAGGGGTTTAGCTTCGACCATTGATTACAACGCAGTCCAGACCTATCCACAGAGACCAACCTTTGAGGCTAAACCGTTACCACTTCGATATGAAACTCAATGTGAGACGTTATCAGGACAACGCTGACTAACCACCTGCAGCTAGGGTGTTTTGGCTGTGGCAGGTGTGGCATTCGATCCCTGCAAGTCTGATCCCAACCATCCCTCCAGCATGCCGATATATCAGACGGCTACTTTTGTCCAGCCTAGTATTGAGAGATTCGGCCCTTATGATTACACTAGGTCAGGCAATCCCACTCGGACTGCTGTAGAACAACTCCTCGCTGGTATGCAATAGATTACTCATTACGAGCACAATGGTTTGGGCCTTGCAGGTCTCGAAGGAGCACATGCTGCATTCTCCTTCAACACGGGCATGGCAGCCCTCGCGGCAATAACACGACTCTGCGATGCAGGGGATGAAATCATCTGTGGCGACGATATCTATGGCGGCATGCATCGGTATGTCCATGGTCCTTGGCTCAGTGAATGACCACCTTCTTCAGCCTACTGAGCCGAATCGTCAAACGATATGGGATAAAAGTTCACTTCGTCAACCTGAGTGATGCCGACGCAGTAGCAGAGGTGCTCAATGACCACACCCGAATTGTCCATTGTGAGAGCCCCTCGAACCCGTTGATGAGGATTACTGATCTACGAAGGTGAGTGTTGAAGGTGGGCTGGCTCAATCCCTCTATTATCAGACTCTCCGCCCAGCTGAAGGCATTCTCGTCTCGTATCGTCCTCTCAGTCGACAGTACTATGATGAGTCCGTACTGGATGCAGCCCCTCCGTCTGGGGGCCGATATTGTAGTTCATAGCGCCACGAAATTCCTCCTCGGCCACAGCGACACCATGGCGGGTTTCGTCTGCACGTCAACTCCCGAGCTCAGCTCTGCCATTGCTTTCGTCCAGAACGCGGAAGGGACGGCATGCTCACCGTTTGACTGTTGGCTCATCTTAAGAGGGTTGAAAACACTCTGTATTAGACAGGATCGCGCGGAAGAAAATGCACAAAAAGTTGTGGCCTTCCTGGCCAACCATCCCATCGTTAGAGAAGTACGGAAGCACTCTGTTTATCATTCCGCGTCTGATTCACGTGTGTGATGAACTCTGGTCAAGGTCAATACTAACGCTTCCTTTGATAGGTATACTATGCTTCGTATTGTCCCCCTGATGCCTCGGGGAAACGTCTCGAAGCTCAACGCATACATCTCGGTCAAGCTCGTTCGGGTGGTGCGGTTCTTAGTTTTACAACAGGAAGTGTTCGCCTCTCACGGAAGATATGTGATGCTGTGCACCTCTTCAAGATCACCGTGTCCTTCGGCTCGTGTAACTCTCTCATTGAGATGCCCTGTGTACTTTCTCACGCCTCCATCCCAGCGGAGATGCGTACGTTACCTGAGGACCTCCTAAGGCTAAGCATCGGTATAGAGCACTATGAAGATTTGATCGCTGATCTCGAACAAGCATTTCATGCAGCCCTTCCCGGGAAGGATGTATCTCGAAAGAAATCTTCCTGAGCGAACGACGGTGTTGAGCATCATCTCCATCATGGGCATCGAATTTTGGATTGTTTCATTGTTACTAACGTATTGTGTGGAAGTTTTAGTTAGAGTATTGTAGGAAGACAGGACATTTTCGCCAGAGGAGTGCGGAGCACTTATGCATTTTACGTCTGTCAATGGATTAACTCCGGTAAAAGCCCAGAGATGTATCCGACATGAACACGGAATGATATCCTCCTCTTACCCCGACTCGCGGAGGGATTCTTGATCTAGAACTGAAACCAACCAGCGAAATTAGGGCCCATTCTTATATTGTATGAAACGACCAATTAGAGATGCCTCGTGCATTTCAAGGAAAACAATCACACCCGTCCGGTCAGTTATCTGTCGAAATGACCTCTTGGAATGCAGCAACGGAAACGTAGCAAACTACCAGTTGTTCACCAAGGATAGTGTGCTGGACTAACTACGTCGGATTATTGTGTTTCCGAAGTGACTGTTATGACTCGACTCATAAGGATCGTCAAGAAAATATTGAACGAAGATTACACAGAATGTCGATCAGAAAGTGCCAAACTGAGCAACATCAGAGTGAGAGCTCACAGACTCATCCTCGAGCTCCTCGCTAGGCAGCGGGCTGTCCGAATCGTTCATGGACAACATATTGTCTCGAGCGCTCTGCATGGTTTGCTCACGATGAATAGACTGTTGTGTTGCTGAGTTCGCATTGGAAGCCATAGTGACTCCTGGGAACAACTCCTGCTCTATCTGTTGCATCTCATCCTTGCTAGACGCTTGATCATAGAGCCACAAAACGACTCGGGCAGCCTACAGAATAAACATTCATCACTCAACGATAGAGACTACTACCTGTGCAGGCGACAACATCCCTCGTAAATTTTCAACACACTTCTGCATACTATAAGCCCTGATACTAAGGGCTCTCTTCATGTGCTCTATGGCACGAAGACAACTCAGTGTCTGTTGCTTCTCCTGAGCAATCATCTCTTCTATCTGCTGTAATTGTGTCTTCTGTTCATCAGTAAGTTCCAACCGTTCCTCTAACTCCTTCCAGTCCTTCTCAACATCTACCGCATGGGCATCATTTGCCTTCGTCGCAGCCGAGTCCGACTCGGACAGGCGTCTACTAGCTGATCCGCTCTCACTGCTGTAAGAGAACGGACCGATCCTCCGCTCATTGAGCCAGAATAGTAACATATTTACTGGGGATATAAAGAGTTCGGGTAACTGCTCCAAGTCTTTTTCAATGCCAACCCGCCTTTCAACACCATTGGAGCCCAGCCGGACCAGCAGCGTGCCGACTAGGCTGAACAATTCCACACTGGGAGTGGCGTCAGAGGCCAGTGCCGTTCGAAGCTGATCAATATTATTCTTGGTCTCTTGATCCAGGCTCTCTAGCGAGAGACCAGTGGCCGCGTACTCCTTCATTCGATTCACTTCTGAGCTGAGCTTCTGGACCTTGTCCTCGAGTGTCTCCAAATACATCTTCTTCCTTTTCCGAGACTGCCTGGCAGACTCTCTCCTCGTCATCCTATTAGCCTGAGAACATATCGTATATTTCACTCTGAGTTTAAATTCATAATCTACCAAATACCACATTAGATTGCCGTTTGTTGACCACGAGAAAAACCGATGTAGTAGTGGCGCTACTATAAATAAAATTGCGGATAATTTCAACTTGAGTCTGATTTCCAGGGCATTGTCCAGAAGTCCCACAAGGATCCCATTACCTCCCCGTCCCCATGAACGTCTTTATGTAAGCGTCCCTGACGTAACGCTCGGTGACCGCCACCAGCACCCACTTCACTGCCGTTATCTATGGACTGTATATCGGAGGACATGACGTGATTGTCAAACACCAGAAAAAAGAACGGCAACAACGGCTACACTACAAACGGTGTGATGCACGAGCCACTCGAAATGACGCCTTCATTGCACACACTTCATCTGATGAGATCGACACTACATATT